AGCGACGAACCACCTTCCTCGTCCCCGCGCCCGGAGGCGGGGAGAATGCTAATCAAGCGCCGAGCCTCACAGCCCCGGGCCGCCCCACTGCTGGGGAGGCTGCTGGGCAATGGCGCGTCGGAGGGGCGGGGCTAGGCAGATGAAGGCGGCACCGGGATCCCCCGCTGCGCTGGGCGGCCTCACCTGGCGCGTTTCGGCGGGGACGCCGCAGCCTCCGCGGCACAAACGCACACGGTCGTGCTGTAGCCGGTGTCGTCTCGTTGTGCTTTGCGGCACGTTCGTACCGTCAGCCAGCTGCGGAGCGTGAGCTCGACTCACCATAACCTCTGTAGCACAAAGTGTTCTCCTGACTGAGAGGTGGGGGGAACCTTAAGTTTCGCTCCCTCAGTACCCGTCCTGGCCGTGGGGCTGTCACGGGTGGGTCCCCCCGGGCCGCGCACGGCCACCTGGCCCACCTCCGAGGTTGTACGTGCTGCGGTTTGCTCCACACTGATACGAATTTAAGCGGTTTTGTATTTTTTTTATATAACGTTCTCGCCGGCTCTGGGGCATGGCCCGTGTCACCCGTAGGCCGGGGGACGCAGCGTTGTGATTTTCGAGGTGTTCCTTCATGCCAGTGAGCTGCCGGCCAGCCTGTGTCCAGAGTCCCCCGTCTGCCCATCCAGCGCGGCTGCTCTGAGCAGGTTAAGGGACGTCTGGAAACCCCAGGGAAATGGTCAACAAAACCACGGGCTGGTAGCTGACGGGTTAGAGTCGTTCTCTACCAGGAGAGAAGCCGGCAGGTGGTTTTATTTCTGTAGCCCTGAACTTGCACTTGTTCATCCACAACAGGTAACTGGAGGCAAGTTCGTAATAATCCCCTTCACTTCAGAGTAATTACTGGCGTGCTAAAGCAATTGAGACTCTTCGTAGATGTTGATGCAAGTATCAAAACTCTGAGGCAGGAGTTTAAAATTAATTTGACTCATAACATTTCTTTTAGATAACACCGGTTCCGCTCTTTTTATTTACCTTCTAATTTCTGAGTCTGCAAGGTGTTTTCTTTCACATACTCTTAAACTTCTTACGTGACCAGAGAGATTTGAAACTCTTTTCCACTGAAATGTCTCCTTCCCTCCCTTTTCATACCTGAAAGCTAAGAAGTGAATGAAATGTCATTGGACCCAGCAACCAGAACTTTAAAAGGGAAAAAAATAAAAAATAAAAATATTGCAAAGCATGCACGGAGCGAGGTGCTTCAGGAGATCAGCCACAGGGATAACAAGCATCCATCCTGAGGAGCTAGAAACCGATCGGTCCGGATGAAGGATGTCTCTTATCACTAAGACAGAACGACCCATTGATACAATTGCTGAGGGAGACCTTCTTGTCCTCCTGAGCAGGAAATCATACGGGATGTCAGGAGGGGCCAGCGCAAGTGTGAACAAAAACCACTCGGGAATGACGAGCTGGAGCCTGAGTGAGGAACGGTAGGGAGCGAAGGAGGGAGATGAGTCACAGAAGCATTTATCCTCAAAATGACCTTCTGCCGTTGATACACTTTCTCAATGCAAAGCAAATATAGGATTTAGCATATTAATTCTGTAGCACAGAACTTGTTCATCGGAGGTGGATACAAATGCTTTTTATTGGGGAATGGCTGCAAGGCCGGTGGGGGAAATCTTCGCTACGCCAGACCTTTGCCACCAGAACATCTCGCCTGTGCAGGGGGTGGGAGAGGGGTCAGCAGGGCCAGGCAGGGGTGGACCTGTCCTGGTGGGGTGGCTGCGTCTCCGGGGGGTAACCCGGGTTTGGGCTCCTGCTGCAGACCAGAGACCGGCCGCAGACATAGCACCATGGATGCCCTTTTCATTGCTGGTTATCTGCTGTGGGCACCAAAGAAACCTTGCAAGGAAGGGTGGTGGTCGGAGGTAGGAGTGACAGCAAAGGCCCACATCGTGATGGGATTTATTCCTCCACCAGCACTTACGTAAAGTATGTTTTCAGAGGTGCAGCAGCAAAAATATGAACCACTCCTTTGCTGCATGGCTCCCTCCTGCCCTCCCCAAATACTTTACGTGGTGCACTGTTGATTCTGGGATATTACTCATCCCTAAATAAGCTGACAGCTCCTGGCCATCAGCCACATGCTGACAGTATTTGAGACATGAATTAACAGTGATAATGCTCCTTGCTCTGGCACAAATGTAAGGTTTTAAATGAAATCTCCACTGAGAATTTCTCACGCACGCTGGGACTGAGGAGCGTTTTGGGGTGGGCACAGCTGGCTCTGAGGATGTCTGTCAGTCTCTCTGGATCCAGTCTTGCTATACCCTCCTGTGGTTTCATCCCTGTGTTCACCCAGGCGAAGTTGCAAGGCAGGTGTTGTTGGGCTCATCTTTAGGGAATACAAATCTTTGGGAGTAGAGGATAATTTGTATCATTCCAAATCTGTTTTTAAGATTTTCCTGATTTGCCCAGAAAAGTGATTATTTTTTTCCAGTAAGCCCTGATTCAGCAACCCACTTCTGGACTGCTCAACGTTATAGGCTCACCACTAAGCACAGAAGTATTCCTATTGCAGCTTTTAAGCAAAGGCCCACAAACAGAATATAAGCATGAATTTAAATTATTTTCTGACTGAACAGGCCTTTGTCATGACTAAGCAGCTGATCTGGAAGAGTTCTCCAAAAGGATCATGGAAAGAGAAATCCACTGTTTAGATGACCAAGGAATAATGAATTTGTGTAGCTTTTTCAGGTCTTAATTGAAGGCATGCGCATTCTGAGCCCGCCACAAAATCCTCTCCCAGGCATTTTGTGGGCATTTGAGCTAAATGCCCATGCTTAGCAAAAATGGGGCTAATTGAAAAATTCTTCCTTTGTTAAATATTCAGGGGCTGCTCTCTAGCAATGTAAAATGACAAAACCCCAAACTTGGACAGGGAGAAGAATCTACCTCCATATTTGTCTCCCTCCTGTGTTGGCAAAGAGGGGAGAGAGCAGTTACCTTTTAAAGGAGATGGCATGGAAAATTTTGCCTTGCTGGAAAAAGTTTTGCAACATTAAAAGTAATTAAAATGGGGTTTTACAATGGAAAGTATTGAGCAACTGTCTCAGGCATAGGTGTAACCATCAGCTCCACCTATAATAAACCAAACTGTTCCCCTCCTGTGGGGCAACGCAATCCGCTTAGAAAACTGATCCAAGCAAACCTTGTCACTGCGGCAGATTTACAAAACCCGAATTGTGACAGAATAAGGAAGGGCAGAATGGAAAAACAAAACACATTGATCCTGTAATCTAGAGATAATGCAACGAAATGTGGCATGTTACGGCAAAAAGACTGATCGTCTTTCACCAGTTGTATGTAAGCAGAGACAAATGCCTCTTCTGTCTTCCTCCAAATAAGCCGGTGGCCAAAGGCAGCCACTTCAGTCCCAACATGTGCGGGCAAGTGCTCACCTCTGCCACGGGAAGCTCTTTTGACTCCTTGCCATGGAGCTTCAAAACCAAACCCATTTGTTTAGCGAGTGCTCCAGCATCTTCTGCTTGGTGTTGCTTTGGTCCCTCCTCCGTGCCGTGCCCGTCTGCAGCGCGAGGCCGGGATTCCCAGCACACCGTGCCTCCACAGCGTTTCAAAGACACAGCGTTGTCCTTACAGTTCTGTGTCGAGTGTGCTTGGAAACACTCCTGCTCCTGTTTACCAACAGCTTCACCTCAGAGGAGCATCGTGCTTGTCCACACGTGAAAGCTAATCTGGATTAAGGGAGAGTGTGAATTAAAAGCAGAGTAGGAATCCCAAAATACGTCTGGGCAGATAAGCCCCAAGTTATCAAAACAATTGATTAAACATACCGTCACTAATTGCAAAATCAGTGGAGAAGGGAAGTAAGCGCGCTCAAGAGAGAAGGTCGCGCATCCTGGCACCGGCAGGGACGGGACAGGTTTGGGTTTACCCTCAGCCATCAGCCACAGGGAGACGTGGACGTGGAAGCAGGACGTGGGGAAGGAGCAAACCTCGTAAGAGGATGAGCAGGAGTGCAGCCAGCAGCACAGCCCACGCCTGGTTATTGCCCGTCGGGTGGCAGTGGCTGTCGGGGCAGGAGCTCACCAGCCCAGGGCAGGTACCAGCCTCGACAAACACGCTGTGCCCAGGTGGAGACGGTGGTTTTCACATCCTGTTCTCTGCAGTTTTCTTGTTAAATATTAGTTGTGATTATTATCAAACGGCACACCCCTGCCACACTGTGCCGGAGGCTGTGCAAACATGGAATACAAAGAAACTTTCTGCCTTAAAGAGCTTGCAGTGGCAGGCTCTCCCTCTTCCCAAGTGAAAGGAGGCTGCATCCAGATACACGTGAGCCAGACACCACTTTGCAAAATGGGAAACATCCAAATCTTCCACAATCTGAATAATAAAGATTTCCTCCTATAGCCTGTCCCACCTCACAAGATAGACATTACGAATTCTATTGACAATGACAGTGTATTTTGAGTTGCTGGCACTAAAAAAGGGAAGGTGTTGTGAAAGAGCTAGTATCACATGAATTTATTTAATATAAAAAAGACATTAAAAAAGCAGACATTGGTAACACTGATAAGGCTTTAGTGAAAACATGGTAATGCTGAAACCACATTAATTTTAACCAGAATCTTGAAGAAAAGCAATTCAAGAGAAAAAAGAATCCATAAATAATGAGGAACATGGCAAAGGCTGAATAAGTAGAAATAGCCAGTCTGGTAGAAGGCTGAATAAGCATGTTCTTTGTAACGCATGGAAAGGAAAAGACACAACAGCCTGTATCCTCCACTTCAGCGATAATTTCCCTGGGAGCTGCACCCATTCAGCTGAGGGCAGCTCAGGGTCTGAGCCACTTCTCCGTGGTCAAAGTTGTGAAAGCTTAAAAGCCAAATGCTGAGCGTACAAGGGGCTTTCCACAGTAAGCCAGAAAGCTTCTTAAAAGACATGCTTCCTCACAAAGTCTAGATGTTACTCTCTGCTGAATCCTGAGTTCTTCTAATTCCAGATATGACTTCTGGCGCTGGAAACTCCCGCTCCTGGATCTGAGTAGAGATGAGCAAGAGGTTGTGCTCGGGATAAAAATGGTCAGACAAAACTAGGTCGCTTCCATATCTCGTCTCACCTTCCCTGTGATGAAAGTCCATGGTTTTCTTGCATCTCCATAGCAGGGAAGATGGGAACAGATCAGCTTTGACTCACAGTTTCAATCCCCTACACACTTGTATAGGGTTTGGGCAGCACCGTAGGGGGATACCAGAGCCCCCGAGGAGCCCGACTTTTAGAAACCTGCTCCCACTGGGTACCCACGAGCTTCGGCTGTCTCTGTTTCAAGAGCAGATCTGAAGATGCTCTATTTTCCCAGTGCCCATGTGCCATCATGCTACCGCCAGTTCCAGTTGATCCCAACGATCAATGATGCTTTATATCCTAATAGAGATTTATTTGTCAAACTTGGCCACAAGAGTGTCTTATTTAGAATTAATTACAATGTCTGGTTTTAGCTACATGTACAGCAGCATGGCAAGTTACCCTTGTACTCTTTGGACCAAATTTCTATCTATGGATGGTAGTACTTACATCAGAGATTAATTCAATGGCTTGCATGATGCTTTCTTTCTGGAAATTGAAGTCAATAGAAGCTAATTATACTTACTGATGCAAGATCAGAATTGACGTGTGAGTAAAATTTAGCCTGTCTGAGTGCTTCCTTGGTAACTTATCTCTGTCGCCAGGATCTCACCCGTCAGAAGCAGCTGAGCAGGACGGGTGTGCACGAGGCAGGGCGAAGGGACGCTCCTCACAGCCCGCAGGATGAGAGATATTTTCCTTTGGATGCTCCCCATGCTAAGTCAGAAAGTAGAACAGATTTCTACTGCCCAGGTAATATGGAGGTGTTGCTGGTGTCGGGTAAATTAATTTCATTAAGTTATTTAGTGAATTAGACACTATTAATTCAGTAGCACAACGTTTCCCCAAGTCAGCACCAGCTCCCTCTCCATTTTGCTGGCTTTGTGGATGAACAGACAGCAGAGGAGTGTTTCCTGTGGCGTGCACATACATTTTTCAAGTGTTCCTGATGACACATCTACACTGTGCCCCACAGCACAGGGGGAGCCGCCGGGGCTGGCAGAGGTCACAGCACAAGGACAACTGCTCTCACACCCGGGGTACCACAACCTCACGATGCAGCACGGAGCTCAGGCATCTACCGGCCCTGGGAATGGGCTTAGGCCAGTTCAGCCCTGCAATTTTGTAAAAAATCCCTGGATTTTAACCCTACCACTTGTGGTTGCCAGCAACACCTGCAAAAAGGAAAAAAACCCAAAACCCACTGGGTATAGCAGACTCTAGGCTTTTTTTTACTGATACACTATAGACTTGTTCCAAATCAATTCAGCATGTAGTTTTCTTTAGCTTTGGAAAACTAACACCTTTGATCCAGCAAATATTTATATGCACATATTGGGACAGCCTCCTGTACTGAATGTAACAAAGTCCTGTTCACTGGTCCCTAGGCAACCACTAGAACAAACTAATTAGTAACTACAAATTCACACACATCCATCAAAATAAGATCCAGATTAATTTTATTTTGCCTCAGTATCTTCTGTGCTTGAAAATTAGCATCTAAACTTGCCCGAAACAAATGATACTAATTTACAGATTGGTTTTAAAAATAAGTATAAAAAGGGTCTCATCATGAAATTCCACAAAAAAAAAAAAAAAAAAAAAAAGGAAATTTTACCAGGGAAAAAAAAAACCCCCATCAGATCCTGTCCCAGATCCTGTCCCAGATGGAGTTGGGAAGTTTGGCCCTGGATCTGAAGTCTGCTATACAAGCAATCCCCGCCAAGCAGAAAAACTAATGTGCCTCCCTCATCAGCTTCTGTGTCAGCTACAGCTGACTCTATTTACTTTTAGCCCAGAGGAGGAACTGGGAGCAGAAGGAAAAGAAAAAAACCTTCATTGATATTCACAATGATGTCTTACATGTCCAGCGTTATTTTTGTCCGAGGGAGCTCTTTCAGAAAATGAGAGAAAACAAGTGATTAGGTGGAAGAATGGCCGTCAGGAGTGCAGAAAGGACCCTGTTGTGGGGGAAGGGGCTGTATTACTCTGTCTATTAAAGTACCATGAATCATTTTGACTACTGTGTGTATATTTGGTAACAGAAAAGTAAGGTGGACTCAGCCTGGACACTGTAAAAACAGGGTTTGTTACCTTAGCTAAGCTAAGTGCCGAATTAGAAGTCTCTAATGATGAAGGCAGATTGGTTGAAATTGCAGCCGGCAAGTAGCAGTTCCCTCACCCTGATGGTGAAAGAAGGATAAAATCCCTCCTTGTCCCCATTTCCACGCAAAAGAAATTATGTCCTGAACCCAGAGCACAACCCTGCTCCAGCCCAGGGAGCTGTGCTGGGGCCGGGTGTTCACCATGGCTGAAAATCCAACTGCTGAGCTTTGTAAAGAGAGAAATCCTCCCTGGGCGTCTGCCTGGCTGGGTTGGCGGTGGTATTGCCCAAGTGCCGAGCACAAGCACCCGCATCCCCAGCCATCCGGCCCCACGGCCACGGGCAGGCAGGCAGGAAGGAGCCCTGCCAGCTGGCTGCCTGCTAAGGGTTTCCAGCAGTGAGAAACCACTCTGCCTGCATCGCTGCCCAGGGCCCCTTTCACATTTCAGTTCATTCCTTGTCACCGGGTGAGACGACCTGGCTGGGACCAGAGGAGGAGAAACCGCTTTACCTGTGCTTGGCCGCTCTGGATGCAAAGCACACTTGCATTTTTCAAGCCCTGTCACTGGGAAGCAGATTCTGCAGGTACTTTCTCCTCGTTTACACGTAGGAAGGGTTTCTCCCTGGCTGATGGAGCTCAATTTTGGCTCCAAGCATGGCATTTACACTGGTGTGAATAATGTCCAAGAACACACGACTCACAGGAAACTTCTAATTGACCAAGATGTGATTCATTAGGAGGCTTGCACTGTCTGAATTAAAAGAGCATCACAAAAAAAAAAAAAATCACTGAAACCCCCAGGCTGTCTGGCATGCAAGTGCCCCAGTAACCCTGCTGCACTGGTGGGGGATGGCCAGGACTTCTTGCAGGCTGCTGCGGTGCCGAAACTGCTGCAGCCCCTCAGGTGCAGAGCTGGAGTCTGCCGATGATGCAGTTTGAGCTGGGTCCAGCTGAACCATCCTCCCTCAATGGCTCTCCAGATGCAGCCACTTGTTTTTTGGCAGTGGCTTTGCACGGAACAGAAACAGCCCTTCCCTGGGAGCATGGAGGCAAAGGGAATGAAGACTGGGGCAGGAAGGAGTGGGGTGAGGAAGGAACAATGACCAATGAGCCTCCGATTTCCTCAAATTAATCGTAGAATCATAGAATGGTTTGGGTTGGAAGGGACCTCTAAAGGTCATCTAGTCCAACCCCCCTGCCGTGGGCAGGGACATCTTCAACTAGATCAGGTTGCTCAGAGCCCCGTCCAGCCTGACCTGGAATGTTTCCAGGGATGGAGCATCCACCACCTCTCTGGGCAACCTGTGCCAGTGCTTCACCACCCTCAGCGTAAAAAATTTCTTCCTTAGATCTAGTCTGAATCAAATCTCTTTGATTGTTTTTAGTTTAAAAACATTACCCCTTGTCCTATCGCTACAGGCCCTATTAAAAAGTCTGTCCCCATCTTTCTTACAAGGCCGCAATCAGGTCTCCCCGGAGCCTTCTCTTCTCCAGGCTGAACAACCCCAACTCTCAGTTGTCGTAAACACAGAGCATCCACTCCAGAAGCACAGAGCAGAGGTCTGGGAGGATTTCAGGCAGTGGGAAGGATGGACCTCGAAGGGAACCCCAACTCCTGCCTCCAAATTAAAGGCTGGAGTGAGGCTTGTTGTGACTTACCATCATCTCTGCCTTGGCAACATCCTCCGCTCATCCAGGGCCTGCTGCGAGGTGGATTGCTTTCCCAGTCTATTCCTCTTCCCAGCTATTCAATACAAACTCACGAATTTGGGTGCATGGCCCCAGACTGTGGCCCCATGGATATCCCACCACTGCTTCGCCAGGCAGCACCGGAGTGGGGTCTCCTGCACACGTCTGTGTGAGCACAGGCAAAACCAAACATGCAGAGGCAACTGGAAAGCCAGGCAAGCGATGGGGACAGTCGGGGAAGAAATTTCAGGCCACTAAGTGTGAGCACAGGAGCGTCCACCCACCCCTCACTTGGGTTGTGCCATACATGGTCCACCTGATGATGCCCAGCAAGTTCAACCCTCTATCCGGTTGCAGAAGGGAATAGATACGCTCCCAGTAGAGGGACATTGTGATATTGGGCTTTCCAGATTCGCAGCCACTGAGGTGATAAAATGCAGTGGTTGGAAACCAGACAAATAGCCATCCCTCGCAGCACTCAGATCAGTGCTGGGTGTTTTTCTAGCCCAGAGAGGGATTAGTCCGGAGCGGCCCTATGCCAAGTGTCAGAAGGGAGACACAAGAGCCCTTTCAGCCATGGTGAACTTTATCAGGTTTTCAGTATGAAAAAAAGATTATCTGCTCACACAGCAGCCTTGTGAGGCTTCACATGTTCTCACCGCTTCAGGCAAACAGCAGTGGAAGGGCTTTTTCCTATCTTTTGTATGTGCAGCCACTCTTTAATGTAAATGTACTTACCAGAAATTGAATAACTCCCACGCGAGTGATTTTATACCCATCCAACATTTAAATTATGAATGCAATAATCTGCAGCACCATGAGTTACAAGGCAAGGCTAGAATTCCCGAGGCAAGAAAAGTCTATTTTTAGACCTTTCAAGCTGAAATTTTTACTAGATGTGGAAATTTGCTTCCTTCTGCTGCGTCGGGTGTTAATTTGCATTAAAAGTTTCAGGGTTTTGTTTTTCAGACTTTTGGGTGATGCCTGGTCAAACAGCAGAAAACAAAGCAGCTACTTTCTGCCACCCATCACTGGGGAAAGAGTGCAAGAAGGAACCCCCCGCATGTGGCTCTGCAGCTCTGCCCGGGTAATTGGTTGCCTAATGGGGTTACTCTGAGATCACAGGGAAGTGATGAAATTGGTTGTTTCCCTTGATGACATCC